CGTTTAATGAATCCAAGTACACTTTTTGCCTCATTAACGATGGTATCTATGTGGAGATTGAAACAGAGTTTAGAATCAAAAATAACGCCTAGATCCTTAACTGTTAGTATACGTTGCAAAGGGATATTGTCGATTGTATAACTGACAAGATAAGATGTACGATTAAATGTCATAAAATACACTTTAAACAATTTAGATGCAATTGATTGGCCGAACATCAAAGTTGCATAGCGTTTAAATCGTCTTGTAGACGAGAATGATGTTGGGAATTAGTGTTTGATAGAAAAAGTTTTACATCGTCCGCATACATGAGTACACGGGCATGTGAGGGGAGATCATTTATAAAAAGAGTAAAGAGCAAATGTCCAAGATGACTACCTTGAGGAACACCAGAAGTAACGTGAACGCGTTTAGAGTTAGTCAGCCTCAGCATTACTCTTTGGGTCCTACCTTTTAAATAAGAATTAATTCAATGCAAAAGAGACGCAGGGAAACCTATTCGGTCAAGTTTAAAAAGTAAACTGTCATTGTGCACAGAGTCAAACGCTTTACTGAAGTCAGTGTAAATGACATCAGTTTGCATTTTCGAAAGGAAAGCATCATTTACCAAGGAAGTAAACAAAAGCAGATTGCAAGTAGGTGACCAATTCTTTAGGAATCCATGGAAGAAATAGTATAAGGGTATGAATTAGTGTTAGGACAGACTGAAGAGTAAGTTGATTGGAAAAAATTAACAAAGAGGTTAGCAGAATCAGTGCCACTGCTAGCTTTATCCATCCTAAGAAAAAAAGAAGATGGCAAACTTGAAGATTTACGCTTCTAGTTTACAAAATTATAAGACTGTCTTGGATTTTGGGCAAATTGCCTTTTACAACGAGTTAGGTAATTCTCATAGCATTGAGAGTTAAGAAGAACGAAGTTCGACTTGGCTAAGGAATATTTAGCCAAGTTTGTACACGAAGCAGTCTTTTTAAACATTTTAAAATATAAAAGTTTTTAGATGTGGTTTTGAAAAAGTAGTCGAAGCAATTGACTTATCTAATAGGGAGTTTAGGGTGTTATAAAAAAATTAATGGCAGTAGTCATATCAACCGAGTCATATAAGAAAGACCAATCGGTTGCATAAATAAGCTGATTCAGCAAAGACTAATTTTCTTTGTGAAAGCAACAGCTGGGCTTATTGGCTGATAAGCACGAAATGAAAGGACTACAATTGAGCATTGCAATCTCTAAAGTAGGATGATAGACATACTTAGGAAGAGATAAAGGAGGGGACCTAGACCCTTTAGAAATAAGGTAGTCGTTAACAAATACAAGGTCAAGTATTCTATTCATATGATTAAAAATTGAATTGATTTGAAACAACGAAAGATCAAGCATGCAGTCTATAAAATCGTGCCGTGCTGAGGGCACTAGATAAAGCAGTGAATAATGACCAAGAGATGTTCGGCAAATTAAAATCACCCAACACCATTAATGTCATTATCACGCACGTGTGAAGAAACTTCTTAAATACAAGTAATATGTTTCATATAAACTTGAATATCAGAAGAAGGAGGGACATCAGAGCATGTTATATAGATATTCCGTGTAGGAAAATACACCGTAACTAAGACAATCTCAGCGTCAGTAGGCGTACTGAAACTGAATAGTTCAGACTGGAGAGTGGTTTTAACGGCAATTAACACCCACCACCTCAAGTCGGCCGAGCATTTCTATACAAAATAAAGTTATTCGATAAAACCTTAAAATCAGATATGGTTAAGTTTAACCATGTTTCTGAAAATGCTACTATATCCGAATCGAAAGAAGTATTGGGCATGAAAAGATTTTTAAGCGTTAAAGTGAGACCTCTAACATTCTGATAATGAATAAAGATTTGGTCAGAAGATGAAGTTAGTTTTTTGGGTACGCCTTTTAGGCTTGAACTCGTGATCAATCATGTGTGGGGGCCAAAATTTTGGATCACAAATGATTGGGAACATATCATGTGAAACAATTATTTTGAATAATGATATTTCACGAGGGGTGGAGAAATTAAATTTGGTTATTGACACGCTAGCAGAAGGCTGCCTAGCAATATAGGCTGCCGCAATATAGGCTGCCGCAATATAGGCTGCCAATGAGTCAGTAGTGGTGTCCGACGAAAGTCGAGACACAAGAACTTGCCTTCGAGGGGCAACTACCGTTAAAGTAGGCGCTAATGGGGCTGTAGGTAATACAGGAGTTAGAGGAGCTAAAGAGGCACAATGATTGTTTTTAACAATCTGGGCAAGATTGCGCGCAGGTCTACCTTTGCGGCCAGGAGCTGACGGGGCTGAGGCAGTTCGAGTAACTGGGACGGAATCAGGTACGGGCTCTACTGGGACTACTACAGGGGTTGAAACAAGGCTAATTGAACAGTCGCCTGGAGAAGGCGATAAAGTCAACATTGGAGATACATCCAAGTTGCTTTGAAGGGACAAGAAAGGCGTAGGTGTCTGAACAGACGTATACATAATTAAATTTTAAGAATTGATTTCTTACAGAATTATATATTCTGAAATAATCAATTTGTTTGTCGATGCATTCTGGGCACGACCAACGCAAGCCGCCGCAGTCCTTCTTGGCAGTTTCAGCGATCTTGTCGCAATCACGCCCAGTGAGACCTGCACATTTAGCATGCATCATATTCGCACACAGCCAGCAATTAACAAATTGCGGCAGTGAAGAATCAGCAGCCTGCTTGAACGTGCACGGTTTCTTACAGCCCATCATTATTATTTGCATATGCAAGTTGCGAAAGCGCAGAGCAAAACTCAAACGGTGCACAAGATAGAGCAAGTACACAAACAAATTATTTGGAGCGAAAAGCAATAGAAAAAATTTTGCGAGAGCGCTATGCACAGGCAGAAATATGCAGCAGCGAACAAACAAGTGAATGCACAGGGGAGCACCAAAGCAAAAGAGTCAAAACAGGCAATAACAACAACACGGAACTGACGCCGCGTCTTATAAATGCAATAATTAACAGACTTACGCTGCACAACAGATAACACTTTGTACAATTTATAAAAGCTTTTTAAATAAAGCACCGAAAAATGCAAAATGTTGAAAAAAAAAGCAAGATTAAAGCGCAAAAATATATACAAGTCTTGGAGCACAAGTAAAACACGTCAATCATTCTCAACCTCGAACTCTCTCTTATGTCTCTCTCTTATATCTTAAGTACTTAATATATGGTGTTGCTGAGTAGAGGCATAGCAAGTGGTGTGGTTTGTCGCGAGTTCGAGCCCTACAGAGGAAAGTATATTTTTTGCTGGTGTGGCTGTTAAGTAGAGTCGACAGCAAGTAATGCGGTCGGTTGCCAGTTCGAATCCTGCCAAGGGATCTTTCCTTTTTAATTTATTTGGGCATAAGTGGAATAAGTGGGTTCAGGGTACTCCCTAGTCGGGAGCTCCCGACTAGAACCTCTTACTTGTTAACATTTAAAGTAGGTCAATCCCGCAAGGCGAAACCTATTTCGGGGCCGCTATTTTTGACTTTTGACTTTGACTTTGACGCAAGAGCACTAGCACATCTCTGCTGACCAGGAGGCTTATCAACAGACAACATTAGACAGCCGTTTTTTGGGCAAAATTTATTCCTACTTTACAGGTTTCATCAACCCCAATATCTTTCTATGCACGAAAATCAAATTCAATGCTTTAATTGAAAAATTTGGTGACAACTACTAATTCAGTTAAAGTATTATTATTGGAATTATTGGCGAACGAAGATTCTTACCATTCTTAACTTTTTATGAATCCATCAAATTTTTTATTATATGGCTTACGCTATGCTTTAATGAATTAATGGTTTATTAAGAAAACTTACTCGACTTCCAGTATCAATGAAGGCACGAACACTTGTACATCTCTCCTGTCTAGGCAGCAGGAAAAGTTGCATTGCCGATATACTTATTATTTGCTTCCAGGACGTTGTAGTTGTTGTAACCGAAAAGTTACACACTAATGTTTCGGTATCACGCTCTCGAGCTGCAAGCAATTCTCCCGTTTGCGCTAGACTTTGCATCAATGCTGCGTAAATGCTTATTTCGGGACAGTGGTTTGCAACTCGCTAGCTACCACTTTGTTCGCAAAGTTCACAATTTGCTGGCGCACCTTGGCGGCGTTACGAATTTCGTATTAGGGTGGCGCCAACCCGACGGCATCGCAAATATTCATTTAAGGATTTCACTATCTACTTGACATCGGACTTTTAAGACATATGTCTGCCATAGGAACAATCGGTCGAAATCCACGTTTTTGATAAAAACCAGTTTTGCTTATCTTCCCCAAATTCGGCATTAATTATTTGCCCTTTCTTAAATACAGGCAGAGCACTTTGAGCATTATGAAAAGGTTGGGTCTGCAAGGGTATTAGATCTTCGGCGTGCCGAAGATAGTCTTTATTTCTTGTCTTAATTTTATTTTATAGCCTGAATCCATTAAAAATGGGTTAAACTAGTATTTTGTTTTTGGGCAAATGTATGTAACAGGTGAAATAAAGAATATCCGACCCCAATAAATATGTTCTTGATCGACATCAACAGTCGGGTCGATCAACCCATGTCCTTCTGTCTGTCAATCCACATGCATGATCGAAGGTATTATCGTAGCATGAGCTGCATATGGTATTGGTAAGAGAATTTTCAGAATTTGCCCTAGTCGGGAAGGCGTTATAACTTGTTTTATTTTCGATTCTGTTAATGACCTGTTGTTCCCTAATCGGGATTTCCCGACTAAAGTGTCTTACTTTCTTTTAAACAATTTTTATTGATATAGGCGAGATTGTAGTGTGAGCTATTTTGTTTTTTCAACGAAACTGTGGCTATATTATTAAGGTAAACGCGAGAGGAAAAAATTATTTGAAATAGTAATTGTGACATACTGAAAAATGATAGGCAATCCCGATTTAAATTAGTATTCCAATCAGCCTAGCATATTTATATTACAAATTAATTGTTTTTCTTCTTCTAGGACGTATAGGAACCGTCGTTGGTTGGGGCCGTACATCCGAAGGAGGAGAACTACCTTCAATCGTTAATCAAGTAAAAGTCCCAATAATGTCTCTTGCAGAATGCCGAACTCAAAAGTATAAAAGCTCACGAATAACGTCAACTATGTTATGTGCTGGAAGGCCTCATATGGACTCTTGTCAAGGGGATAGTGGTGGTCCTCTCTTATTATCGAATGGTGTAAAATATTTTATAGTAGGTATTGTATCGTGGGGTGTTGGGTGCGGACGAGAGGGTTATCCAGGCGTTTACACACGTATAAGTAAATTTATTCCTTGGATAAAATCAAATTTAGAAAATACTTGCTTGTGTTCTTAGTTACAAATTTAAATAAAGTATTTATTTACAAAATTATTTGTTTGTACTAACAGATCCGCCCACGAGTCCGTCCGTATAGGGGTTAGTATTGTATATAATGATTGCGCTGATGCGTAAGGTTAATCTTTACGATTTATAGTCACATTCACTTGGACATTCAGAAGCAGATTACGATTTAATTTTATATGATGAATACCTGATTTGAGGTTTCAAATCTGACACACATACTTTTATTGTTAATACGACAAAAAGATTGAAGCTGCGAAGCGAATTTCACTTGCTTTTTATTAAAACATCTGTGATTAATCACTTACTTTTATGTGAACTCCTTATACCTGTTAATATCTCGGAAAAACTTGTGCTTGCTATGTACTAAACATCTGAGTTGGGACATTGTGCTTTGTACATTTCTGTATTTTGCTGTCCCTAGTATGTAGTTGCTGCTGGTAAGTCTTATATATAACTACTAACATATTTTCATACCCTTGCCGAGGGCATTATAATTTTGTCGTGATATGCGTAACAGCCGAGTTGATATAGCCATGTCCGTCTGTCCGCCTGACCGTCTGTCTGTTGCTATGCGAACTAGTCTCTTAATGAAACTTTGCAGAAGTCCCTCTTTCTGTTGCACGCAGCACATATGTCAAAACCAGCTTGATCGGACCACTATATCATAAAGCTGCCATAGGAACGATCGGTCGAAAATTGAGTTGTTGTATGAAAAAACATTTTGTTTTTCAAGATATCTTGACCAAACTCGGCATTTATTAGTTTTACTATACTCCTCATATATGTGCGAAAACCTATTAAGATCGGACCAACATATCATATATCTGCCATAGGAACGATCAGTGGAAAATTAAGTTGTTGTATGAAAAAAAAAATTTGGTTTTTGAAGATATCTTGACCAAACTCGGCGTTTATTAGTTTTACTGAACTCCTCATATATATGCCAAACTCTATTAAGATCGCATCATTATATCATATATCTGCCATAGGAACGATCGGTCGAAAATTAAGTTGTTGTATAGAAAACTTTTTTGTTATTCAAGATATTTTAACTAAACACGGCATTTAAAGATTTCACTATGCACCCTTCATTTTTGCAAAATCTTATTTACATCGGACTTCTATATCATATATCTGCAATCGGATAGATCGGTCGAAAATTAGGTTTTTGATTAATAACCTTTTTTGTTTATTAAGATATCTTGCCCTAACTCCGCATTAACTATTTTCCCTGTGCTTCTTAGATACGGGTAAAACATTATGAAAAGGTTGGGTCTGCAAGGGTATTAGATCTACGGCGTGCCGAAGATAGTCTTTCTTTCTTCTTTGTTTTGGATTTGACGTGCTGTTGTCATGCAACCCTAATCTTAATCTTCCCTTTGCGGGAGTTACCGATTCGACCGCCCACAATTCCCTCAAATCGTCACCGCCGCTTAAGTCCCTAAAAGGGACTATATTATCTACGCCCTTGTCAAGCTACTTGAAATTACTGAAACGTCACTACTTCGGACTCATGTCCTGCAATATATATGCGGTGTTATAGATGGATTACCATACAATTCACACAGTAATATACAATATAAAATGTTATATATATGTATAAATATATATATACTAGCGGGTATAGCCCGGCCTTACCCGTGGTACGTATAAAATAAATGTTCTCAAAAAGCTTTGAAAATGATTTTGAAACTGATCGGACAGTAAGCAAACAACTTTCCTAAAATGTTTTCCGCCATTTTACCACTGTTGCGGGTGGAATTTCCCAGATCGCTAAAACACGTATTCATTAAGTTCTTATGTAGAGCCTTGAAAATAACTTTGAAGCAATTCGGACATCACTCAAAACTTCGCCAAAAAAATCTTTGAATCGCATTTCTAGCGAAGCAGCTTAGATTTTGCGAAAAATGAGAAACACGTCTCAAATGATTTTCCATATAGATCCTTGAAAATCAATTTGAGGTTGAAACGTAATCCACCAAATCTTTGACCCACATTTCCACAATGGAGGAACACATTTTTGGAAAAGTGTGAAACACCCCTCAAACGAACAAAGATTTTTAAAATTGAGTTTAAGGCCGATCGGATGGCTCGCTTAAAAGTTTCAAACTAACGTTTTTCGCGATATTTCCATTCTTGCGGGTGGAATTTCCCGAAACCCCATTACTACTAAATACAGGGACTATTTCAGCTTTCTAGCTCTTTTAGGTTGGCCTGTGCGTTGATCACCAATTAGTCAGTCGGTCAGGACAAACAGTTTTATATATAGATATATACGATATGTACATACATATATCTTTTTATAAAACACCGCATCCATTAGAAATAGCAAATTTTGAACAACATATTGTCCTTTCGTGGATATACTCCCCACCCCACCTTGTAACCGCTACGACCGAACTGGCGAAGACTGTCGATGTCGCTAAGATCTAGGACAAGACTCAAAAGAAGAACCGATAACCTTCCCATCGTCTTTCTAAATATTTACAAAATGTAAGTTATATCCATATGAGTATGAGCATGATCGATATGAGAACTCTAAAGGCGAGAAAAATTGAACTTTAGCAAAACAAGTTACCAACACTATTTTACGATTAAATTGTTAAATAAGTAGCCTAGAACAAAAAAACAAAGAAAATAGAAAGCAAATGAAAAAAAAAAAATAATAAAATAAAATATTTACATATAACACGAGGCAATGCACGTCACTGTGCGCAACTCAAGCAAATAACTCACACATACTCAAGTCAACATATGAATTTAAAATGCTAACGAGCCGACCAAATACAGCCTTTATATTATTAATTTACCAACACTATGAAGTTTGATACGAGCAAATGGGGAACGCGTGTTTGACTGGTACACATTGCTGTGTTCGATCTGGTCGTAATACGACCTGAATCTCTTAGCGATCAACACAGTGAGGACTTAGCATAGCTTAGTACTAGTTAGGGCTCTTGTATGGGTTTGCGAGGCAGATACGCGACGGAAACTTACAACGAACAAGTAAGAGGTTCTAGTCGGGAGCTCCCGACTAGGGAATACCCTGAAACCTTTTATTCCAACATCATATAAGTTTAAAAAAATGTTCCCTTGGCAGGGTTCGAACTCGAAACTCGCAATACTTGTTGTCGACTCTACTCAACAGCCACACCTGCAAAAACAAGTAAGAAGTTCTAGTCGGGAGCTGCCGACTTGGGGATAACCTGAACCCTCTTCTTCCAACATCAAATGCATATATATATTCTATTTTAGAAGCTATATGTCAAGTTTGGTGACACTAGCTCTTATTATTTACCAAAATTGCGCAAGAAACAGGATATTGATATCGATTCCTATCGATTGCTTGGAAACGGAATCATTTATCGATTATCAGCACTTATAGGTTCTGAGATCCGTGCGCTCATACATACGGACAGACGGACGGACGGACAGACAGACAGACGGACATAACTAGATCGACCTGGCTATTGGTGCTGATCAAAAATATATATACTTTATGGGGTCGGAAATGCTTCCTTCTGCCTGTTACATACATTTGGATTTTGCACAAATAAATAACCGTTATACCCATTTAAAATGGGTTCAGATTATACAAATTATTTGCCCCGGTAGGGATCGAACTTGCGACACACCGCACCACTTGCTATGCATCTACTCAGCAGCCACACCAATAATTAAGTACTTATGATAAAAAAATGAACTAAAATAGCATTACAGAATAAGCCGCAATTACCATGCTGTTCGAATGCGAAGCAGACGCGCATGAATGTGTGTGTGTACATGTATACAGAAATTCTTAAAGTTTCCCTAGCTGCCCCATCCGATTGCGCAGTTACAAATAACTTTGTTTTTTTTTTATTTTTTAACCGATTTTTATGAAATTTTATACAATATATCATATCTTATTGTACCATCGAATATTTGTGTATTCTCAAAAAGTCAATTTCATTTAAATTGTGGCTTAAATTGGTTGGCAATAAAAGCTGGGTTATTAACTTGATTTATAGCTGTGGGGTGGTAGCGGGGAGGTGGCGATATGTAAATGAACTATGTATATATAAGTTAACACATAACACTTATCATAAGTTATAATCAACCATCGCTATCGCGTGCTTCATAAGTTAAGCCCCCGCAATTGCGACACTGCATACTTTGTATCAGCGCGCAATAGCTGCAATGGTCAGCGGCGGTAACCGGACACTTTTGTTTTGCTGCAAGAGTTTCCGTTACTGCCTAAGAATTTGCTGAGTCGGCTTGCCGACCATGACATTGTGGCGTGATGCGAGTTTTTGATTAGCTTAAGTAAAACTTTCTGTGCATTAAGTTTCTTTAGTTTTGAATTCAGCGCTCTTTTAATAAGTCGCTTAAATAAATATTCACTCCGGCACTTAGCCGTTAAATAATTTGTTTTATTGTCTGAGCCCGAGGCCAGCAATAAGAGGCACAGTCGCCTCTCAACCTAATCTTCAGCCTCTACAGGACTGAAGGATGTTGATTGGCGCCCAACTAGTGGTCGGACTCCACAACCAAAACAAGTAAAACAGCAGCACAGGAGCTGCAACAATTAAGACAGCAGCGCGGGAGCTGCGAGTGACCAATTTTATAAAGGAAATTTTGTTTTGTGTTAATTGAATCATGTAAGTGGATACTCTAGCCAAAATTTTTCTTCAAACACAAAAAATTTTTTATTTTAGTTAGTACTAGTGAGTATTTTATATTGCAACAGATCATATAAACAATTTTTTTTTAAATAATAATAATCAGAACCAAGTTTCTGAAACACGTGAGAGTGACTGCTTTGAGAATTTTAGTTGAAACAATATATCATCCAGATCGTTAATAAAATTACTTTCTGTTACTTTCTATGTGTCTAAAATTGTGATATAACAATACATACAGTTCTCGTGATTCAGAGCTGCGACGTAATTCGACCCATCTTTTGACGGCCCGTTTTATTTTTCGCGGCCACTGGCCTGCGCATGTCACGGT